GCATGGAATTTAATTATGTCAAAAAGTAAACACAATTCTCTAGAGGCAGGTATTAATTGCCTGATCAACTGTTTCAATAGGGTAATGGATACCCCACATAGTTAATTAATATACTGTTTATGAGTTGTTAAAACGCGACACTCCCATAGATTTTGATGGTAAGCGCACTATGACGTCGTCGGGTAGATTTCAAAGTTACAAAAAGTTGAATTTACTTGATTTTCAGAATTTTCTGAGTTGTGTCTTGAAATATTGGTTAATGGTGTCAACTATAGTCTGGTCGCCAAGTACGTAGAATTTTGTCCAATGACCCTAAGACATCCTTATCGCTCGCGCGTAATTATAATTTCATATTGAAACTGTCCGAATCTATGAATGTCTGTAGCTACATGTTTCCATACAAATGTCGCGCTTTTGCACGCTATGGCCATGGTACATGAATACATTTCATTTTTATGTTCTAGCTAAACTCATTCTAGAATGTAGAGTAGGTACCTAGGCAAATATAGGTACACTAAAGACGCATTACAGAACGTAAGAAATAATTTCAAAAATCAACACCTGCATTGTGTGATGTTTATGCTTTCAGTCGAAACTACATATTATAACGAGATATTGTCGAAATCAGTTAAAAACTAATATTTACGGCGCAATCTCGACACAGGCCAGCGCTAGACTCAATAAAAACGACGTTAGCGCGTTTATTACTCCATTTTGTACACAACACAAATAGCTCCTTTGCTATGTAATAACTCGAGTATTTCGTTGGGCTGATAGACGTTATGAATTATGACTAGACTTTGCTGGACATTATGCTTAGTCAAAATTAATAATTAACACCTAGGACGCCACGCGGAACTTTTTTTTATTGACAACGAGGAAGCTCTTGGCCTGTATCTCACCTGATGGTAAGTGATGATCAGGCCGAAGGTGGAAGCGAGCTTCACCCGGAATCCTCAACCACGGAGGAACTGGCTATCTTACCTCTAACTGCCGGAACACAACAATGCTGTTAACATTGTTGTTATGGCGACAGACTTAAGTAAGATGGTGGTAGCTAGCCATGCGGACTTTGAACAAGCCCTACCACCAACCAAATCGAACAGAAAAATCTGCCCCCACTGAGAATCGAACCCGGGACCACAGAGGCTCATCGGTGAGCCTCGAACGATAACATTTCTTTTGTCTGTCTCAGCAGTCAAAGTCTTAATGATAAGCAAACAAAGACGAAGAGAAGTGATATCCGAAATAAATATTCCATTCAAGCAGAACTGATGCCCGTAGGGGCAGAAGACCGAGGACCGTAAAACGAAGAGTAGGTAGACCTACTCGGTGGATCGACGATCTGTTGAAGGTAGAGGGAAGAGAGAATCTTTGATGGAAGCCTTTGTCCAGCAGTGGACGTCTTTTATTTGAAACCAGACCAAAAGAAACGTAAATCATGTGGTATTTCCAGATGCGGACAGCATAGGAATTAGGACCGGGCTTTATGGAAATTCTGGGGAGAATCCTATTCCAACCAGTGGACGTCTTTTGGTTGATACCAGGCGAATAGAACGTTCACCATGTGGTGTTGCCAGATCTATTTAAAACTCAAATTTCTATATTTTAAGGTAAATTACCTGTAAAACCCAAGGGTAATCTCGACAAGAACAATGGGTAGCATGAACCAATCAACCCGCATTCCTGTTGGATCTATTTTAGCGAATAGTTTACACTTGTGCCGGTTTAGTGCGCTGTAAATCAAAACGAGCAGTGCCGTGATTACTGCAGCCGTCTGTGGTCTAAGTTAGGAGGAAAATCGATGGGAAAGAATAGTATTTTCTGCGAGGCTTTTATAAAGCGCTTTTACAAATCCATGTCCAGCATAACTTTAGCCCTGCTACTGCCTTGGGACAGTAAGTGCGGCTGATGAGAAGCAGTGCACGGATCTGTCACTTTTCGACTTTTTTCGATCATCAAGGATGTATTTCTAGGTACATCCCTCGAGCAAGTTATCGCGACTCGGGGATTTAGAGATTTTAAACTCTTGAGTTAGTGGCGAATCAAGTTAGGTTACGTAGGCTGGAACCTAGGACGGCAATTGGCAAATTGGGCGCAATTCTATAACGTCTATCTTGCAGAATTTACTTCATGTATGGTTGGTACATAATTTGATCTAACCTTTTTTAATGGTCATGACCATGGGTCTACAAGCCACGAAATCAAAAAATCAAAATCAAAATCAAAAATATTTATTCAGTTTAGACCACAAGTGGCACTTATGAACGTCAATAGAAAATAATAAAAAAAGAAAAGGTAGCCCTTATGGGGCACTTTACATGTCTCCTTATCTTTGAATATGGACGAATAGGTAATTTCAAGATAATCTCGGTCTATCAAAGATGAATTGATCCAATTCATCAATTCCAGAGTAATTCTATTCAAGAAAAAAGATTTGAGATACTTCCAGCTCCGTAACTGGAAACTTTGTACCACTCATATTTGTCAGAACAAATCTCTTGACAGTTCGCCAGTTTTCAGTGCAATGAAACTGCGCGGACAATGTACTGCGTTATGTATGTTTTCAATATTTCTGAGTTACATACTTCTGACGCAATAGCATGGATGGAGTAGACCACATGATGTATGTTAAGCGAAACATATAGTTAGTTATTTTCATATGAATAAGTTCATTAGGTGACCTGATAATATGGTCTATACCAGTGTTTTTCAACCTGTGGGTCGGTCGCGAAAGGATATAAAAACTACCTCAGTAAAAAAAACAGTTATGTTTTTTTAAAGATAGAGATATCCGAAATCTTATTATGCAAATGCGTAAATGTTGTATGGATTGAAGTATTCTGTTCCCACAACATCTTTGTAACATTATAAAATGCTTGAAAAAAAAAAGCAAACGGTCGGGGAGACGAAAAATATTTTTTCATACTAGGGGGGGTCGTGTCATGAAAAAGGCTTATAAAGGTTTGTTTGTTCGCTTGAACGCGCTAATCTCAGGAACTAAATTTTTTTGTGTTAGATAGCCCATTTATCGAGGAAGTAGGCTACATAACATCACCCTACAGCCAATAGGGGCGGAGCAGTAAAGAAAATGTTGCAAAAACGGGAAACATTACTCAAACTATTTCCACGCGTACGAAATCGCGGGCAAGATAGTGAACACATAGAGTACCTTTATCTGATTTTAGATAAATGTACTCATTGAAACATATTAGTCATAAAATACAATAAACACAGGGTGTCTGAAATCTAAAAATCTATCGAAACCTAAAGGAAAAATAATGGTCGCCACGCCACTCGTCGTGATAAACTAAATAAGCTTGTGTTACGGTTACGAGTTGGTTCACCACAATAGACTAGCGGGCGAAGATCGAACCCTACTTATACTCAATTGACTTCATTTATTGAATAGTGAGTTGGGTTTCCAGGGACATAATGGAGTGTATTTAAAAAAACTGATCTTGAAATAAAAATAGTTAACTAACCAACTAACTAAGTACTTATTGTGTGCAACCTAGAGTAAAAATCTCTACGTGCTAACGCAAAAACACGGCTACTTACAAAAAAATAAATGAAGTAACAAAATATTTAGTGACAAAACAGTACCACCACCTTAAAATTAAACTAAAGAACGGCGCGAGTGCTTTTAACAAACAAAACCAAAGTGGAGATATTAGCACTCATAATAAAATTACAAATGGGACAAAATACAAAGTAAGGTCACATACAAGTTATTAGAGGGACAAAACAATAAGGAACGTTTATGAAAGGCACATTTTATAATTTTAATATTTTTTAGTTTAATTTTTCTTATTTCAATACAGGGTGTCAGTTACATAAAAACAATACAAATGTTAAAAGACTAAACTAGAATCTCAGTCAGTCTTAATTACACTGTATCACTGTATCAAAACTGTCACAAAAGTTACTTTGTCCAGCCGGGCTAAAATATGAAATCTTATCGACGACTTTAGATGACAAATGTATGGGCTTATCGCGTAAAACTGATAAAATGGTGCGATAAAAGCTTATCATGGCGCGCATCTTAGGTCTACAGGGCATCATCACATTCTAATTAATTTAGAAAATCTACTATATTACATTGAATATAGTTTCAGTTCTGATACAACAGACATAGAACAGATATTGTGATTCACGCGTATATTTTATGTAAATAATTTATGATCGTGTGAAGCCCGCGGCAGGTTTTCGCTAGCATTTGATAATTATATCAACAAATAGCGTTTGTCGGTCTGTACAAGCAATTAACACCCTGTATAAAAACGATTGACACACATCTGTATTATTGATGATGAGTTTTTTTTAATATGTGGTTCTGGAGATAACGATAGCATTATTTATTCATAAAAACTAGGAGTCTACAAAACTGTGGAGGAAAACTATTTTTTTTATGATTCGAATCTTTTTCTCAAATATACAGGGTGGAATTTTGTAATGCCAACTGAAATAATCTTTGAATGTAGTTTTCTTTCTTTTAAAAAAATAAAGGAATGTTTTCTTTCAGTAAAGTTTTCCAACCTGCATAAAGTTCAAAAATAAAAGTGCCTTTCAAATCAAATGAAAATTAAAATGAAACTAAACAAGGAATAATAAAATCACTTACTGAAAACTTGTATGTAATGCAATAATTGGTAATTTGGCCAGTGACACATGGAATATTAGTTTTTACATAAATAATTTTAACTTCTACAAAGTATGTAATAAGAATTTTATCAATTTAACTTTAACAAGAAATATAAATAAATTTTGAAGCAGAATTCTCAGTAAAATAATATTATGACAAAAACCCACATTTCTGGGATTAAAAAAATTGCATGTTGAACTTTTGACTAGCATCAAAATAAGTATTCATAATAGACTTAAAAAAATTATGATTATTTAAAAATGTTATTATTCTAATTGGAATATTTAAATAAGACGTCACTGTCACCGACCAAACGCATAAAACTAAAAAGGTGAAAAACAAAAAATGAACGCACTTCTAGCAACACGGCATCTACTTTGCCACTCACTATCAGGTCGTCCTCACGGATCCTTTCCGAGTTCTTGCTGGCGGCTCTGAACGTAGCCGCCACATACTTTTGTTCTTCCTTCGTTAGTAACGTACATTTCGCTGCCAGCTTTTTACTGGTGTTTCCCATCCTGTAAATGACAAGTGTGTTAATAAGTGGGTTTTTATTACAAATTTAATACAAATATTACTGTGGCAAAATCTAAAAAAGTGTTCTTTTATGATCAGAAATATTAATAAAACATAATAATTATTATTAACAGTTCAAATTATTTTTATATGGCAATGACTATTGAAACTATACTGCCAAAAAGTTGCACACTTTGAAGTCCTTTGAAAGAATCCGATAGACAGTGTTCCTTAAGTTTCATGCATTTGCCAAAGAACTATGATAAAGAAAATATAATAGAATACAAAATACACATTTAGGCCCGTTTTCACCAACAATCCCTAATTTTTAAGTGATCACTATGACAACAAAATTCCTGTTAATTGTTACTATAGGTCACTTAAAAATTAGGGATTGATGGTGAAAACATGGACGTGGACGTCATTTGGCTGAAACGAACGAACAAACGATGGTGAAAACGGGCATTAGACTCATAAAAATTATATTTATTTATGATAGATTCTGTTTCTTATGGCTTCTACTAAAACATGAAGTGCTTTTTACTATTGACTGGTAGAAAATTCAACAGTTGATACAATATACCTAGTTCACAAGATATTGACACAAGCGTAGGCAATGAAAATTAATACAAGCTGAGCAAATTTGTATTTCAGTAATTAATAGTTCTATACAAGTCTTCTGACAGTTGTTCTAATTAATTAGACTACTCTCAGTAATCAGTTAATTGGTTTGAATGACATAATATTAGCTGATATGTTACTCAATGAGCAATATTAATTATCATAATATAGCATTAAGATAGTTGAATATGATAATCAAAATGATAGTGCAAGTATTGGTAGGTACAGTCGCGGAATGAAAAGGTTCGTCACCTTAGTGTCGGTTTTCGCTTGCACTAGGTACTGTAAGAGTCAAACCTGCCAACATACCAGTGCAAGAAACAGTGCTGCTAACATTTAAATAAATGTGACGTTTGCTAACGAAGAAGGTTTTGCTTATTTTTCTGTCCCATCAGTGCAATGTTACAAAATGTATTTTTTTATTTAATAGAAATAATAATGGCAGGTTGAACCAACAAGAAGGTTTTAGTTTATCAATCATAAAAATTTTCTTGACAAGATAAATGTCAAACAACTTTAATCTGAATAATTTTGAACTTTACTGACTAACAGTTAAAGATTATTTTGTCTATCTCGAGATTATTCTGTAACATAGTTTCAAAAGGTAATATGTGCTCGCGATTCGTTGAAGGAATCAATTTGAAAACTGACGAACCTTTTCATTCCGCGACTGTACATATCTCATACATTTTATTTGAATTTTTATATCAAGTAAAATATTTTTAAAAAAATGAGCGTGTTGATAACAAGATTTAATGCTGTATTTGATGTTTTCTATTTATTTGACTTGATTGAACGTTTAGTTCTAGACTTTTTCCGCGTATATTTACACTTGCGATTGTCGCGATCACGGTCAAGGCAAGACCTTACTTCTATTTATAATAGACGCGTTTTAGTTAGTTTCCTCCAGTGCAATAGCAAATGTTACTTAACTGCCTGCCTATCTAAGCAAAATGATGTTAACAAATGCAAAAAAACACCTTACCTGTTATCAGAACAAATATTTACTATTTACACACACACAACAAATAATCGACTAAATAATTTATTAAACATAATAATATCTACTATTATCAGTCCATTACAGCCCACAACACATTATGATAAGCGTAAAATTTTATACAACAGCTAAAATTAGCTGAGGTTAATCAATATTTTGCTTGCAAAATGAAAATTCGCGATTTTTTTAGGTTACCTGTCAATGTCAAATTAATTTTTATTTACTTTTCAAAAGTTTATTTCCGCACGGAAACTTGGTGCAGAGCGGGAAGCGCACAAGTTGCGTCAAAGGCCGCGTCACTACGACTGCTGCCTTATCACGAACAATTTAGTCTGGAAATAAACCACCTTTGAAATGAAAATTGATTTTTCCAAGCGTTTGAGATTTTTCACAAATGATTTTATCTGAATTAATGCATTTTGTAGTTAAGACAGGTTTAAAGTAAACAACAACGCCATCTTCCTCCCAAAGCTGCTAAAAAATAAAGCAACAATTTATTAATGTATCCCTGCTAAAATCTAATTTTTCCCTAGAGAAAAGCTAATGGCTAGCCTTGACTTGTTGACTTATTCAAAATGATAACAGAAAATCACGTGCAGTCAATGAACGGGAATCTTTTTAACTTCGTTTGCTGCTGTGTGCGACAGTCGCGTGTAGATTTATTTTCGTCAGGTGTTAAGTAGGTATTAGTCATCTTTACTACTGGCCTATTAAGCAAATAGCACTCTTAAAACAAAGCCAACTGGTAATTAACCGTAACATCTGGCAAATGACTTAAGTACTTACCTATCTGATGAATATTTGATCGGTAGCGTAGACAAATTACATATTTTCAAAGTTATCCAATACGTTTTGGAAACATTTCATCTTTACATCTTTCCCAATCAATGCGCGTTCTCTAAAAATAATTTTTGACACGGTTAGGTATCATTATAAAGCATAAAAGCATTATTTTTGAGATTAAGTAGTGCTAAAATAAAAATGCGTTTAACTTTATTATTTAATTTTTTATTTCCCTATTAACAGTTTTGTATGGATAGGCTTTAAAATGGTTGTCCCTACATTATGCGGTTGGTGTCTACCCAACAACATGTTGTCCTATAGGTTGAACAAATTATTTTACATGTTACTCTCACTCACATCTTTTATCGTGATCTTGATTGATCATCTCCACAATGATACTATTGTCCATACTGTCGAAATCATTGTTACAACTGTATAAGCTCTAATAGTTTTCGTTACAGTTTCATTCTTCAGTCGGGCAGCTACATTTCTTTGGAGCAATAAAAACATATGTATTTGAGGCGGTATACTCAAAGCTGTTGCCAGGAATTTTATCCTGGGACAAAGGAAAGCTGGTAAAATGGAGCCAAGTAAAATAAAAGTGAATAAGCTTCCACTAAGGATTAAATTTCCTTGGATATCTTCTGGGTAGACCGCAGAACCGACAATATAGCTCCAGTGTGCTAACGTCCCAAGTTTCAATATCCAAAGCACCTTCAAAGCTACAGTACTGCAGACAACGATTGCTATTGTTGAGAGAATGCACATCATGAACTTCTTGTTAATTATTTAGAAGTATGCCATGAAAAGGGTGGTGGTAAAACTGAATTACATGTCTGATTCTTACATTTTTATGCTCTTTTTTATATTTTAACTGTTTCTGGTTTGTTATTGTTTGATTGAAATAAATGTCACTAATTTAACTAACTATGTTCGACATTAAACTCTATTCCACCGAGATAAGGTACAAACAAGACGCTCAGACCAAGACAAGACGAAATATTTTTAAAATGACAAGCGATTAGAACGCCACCTATGTAATTATTTTGTAAATTTTAAAACTCCATATCTGTGCTCTAAAGATAAATCGGTTTCTGAACGAATATTGGAGTTGCCATTACACAAAAATGTACATATTTTAGTAGTTTGAATTAAAAAAAATATTTTACATTTTTAAATCAAAAAGTAACAATTTATAGCTTAGCCCTTGAGAAACGTTTAATTTGATTTATTAATTAGTTAAGTTTTAATTAATTATTAAAATATCTCTCAGTTTTAACAATTTATCAAGACTAATCAAATTTTTTTCTGTCATTGTATCTTTTTGGTAGAATTTTAGTGTTTATATATGGCAAGCAAAATCATGACTTGGTAAAATATTTGCGTGAGCTTGTCAATTTACCAATTTTACGAAAATTTCTTTGTGAACCGTAGTCTTTTTATTGTGAATTAGCAGTTCATGTGAATAAAACAAGATGACTTTAACGAAAATGGAGGTGGACTCCGTAAAAGGAGAGGGCTTCCGGCCGTACTACATAACCAAGATTGAGGAACTCCAGTTGATCGTAGCAGAGAAGTCTCAGAACCTACGGCGTTTGCAAGCCCAGAGGAATGAGCTTAACGCTAAAGTCAGGATGCTGCGCGAAGAGCTCCAGCTTTTGCAGGAGCAGGGGTCATACGTCGGAGAAGTCGTCAAACCTATGGACAAGAAGAAAGTGCTAGTAAAAGTGCACCCAGAAGGTAAATTCGTCGTAGATTTGGATAAAAACGTCGACATCAACGATGTAACCGCCAACTGCCGTGTCGCGCTTCGTAACGAGAGTTACACCCTCCACAAAATCCTTCCCAACAAAGTCGACCCTCTAGTATCTCTTATGATGGTTGAGAAAGTCCCAGATTCTACGTATGAAATGGTTGGTGGTTTGGACAAGCAGATTAAAGAGATCAAGGAGGTCATTGAACTGCCAGTAAAGCACCCTGAACTGTTTGATGCCCTCGGTATCGCCCAACCTAAAGGAGTGCTATTGTACGGACCCCCTGGTACCGGAAAGACTCTGCTGGCCAGAGCTGTAGCTCACCACACTGAGTGCACCTTCATCCGAGTATCTGGGTCCGAGTTGGTGCAGAAATTCATCGGTGAGGGAAGCCGTATGGTTCGTGAACTGTTCGTGATGGCTAGAGAACATGCCCCATCTATCATTTTCATGGACGAAATTGATTCTATTGGTTCGTCTCGTATCGAGTCTGGCAGCGGTGGAGATTCAGAAGTGCAAAGAACTATGTTGGAGTTGCTGAATCAGCTGGACGGTTTTGAGGCCACAAAGAACATCAAGGTCATCATGGCTACGAACAGAATTGACATTTTGGACCCTGCTTTGCTCAGGCCCGGTCGTATCGACAGGAAGATCGAGTTCCCCCCTCCAAATGAGGAAGCCCGTTTGGATATTCTTAAGATTCATTCACGTAAAATGAATCTGACAAGAGGAATCAATCTGCGTAAGATCGCAGAACTGATGCCTGGTGCATCTGGTGCTGAGGTGAAGGGAGTGTGTACCGAGGCTGGTATGTACGCTCTCCGTGAGCGCAGAGTGCACGTCACGCAGGAAGACTTCGAGATGGCTGTCGCTAAGGTCATGCAGAAGGACTCCGAGAAGAATATGTCTATCAAGAAACTCTGGAAGTAGATGAAATTGTAATTTTAACTATAATGCATTAAGAATTCAAGAAATTATAATAAGTTTTTTCTAAAATTAAATTACTGTTTTATTTAACCTCGTAAGCCCGGATGTGCCACAGAAGGAACTAAAACTTTGTAGTCAGTAACGCCGAGACATTTTCGGAGGTGATTTCGAAGTATCGCCGGATGTGCCTTCAGAGGAACTAAAACTTTAGCGATAAATTTAAGTTCAAAAATTCGCGCCTATCGAAAAAAAAGAGTGATAGTCTATGGCTTAAAGTATTCAAAATCAGGTATCCGAACTTATTAATATAAAAAAAACAAAATGTCACTGTTAAATTATCATTTTTCTTTGACAAGGTGGTTCGTCCGAGAAGACGTGATGTGCGATTAATTTTTTTTCTTCACGTAAACGTAGTTTAATTGCAAAACTGACCAGTATAATTTAAGTTAAGACACTGCTAAAAAAGCAAAAAAAATATTTTTCCCAATTTGAAGTAGTTTTGTAAGATTTTTTTTCGTTTGAAAATAATAGTTCTTTGCAAGGAACATTCGGTCTTGATGGTGAAAGTTTTATTTTTGTATATTTTTTCTATTGAGTTGGGATTGAGTATTGCACTTGTAAAATTATGATATGATTGAGAAAATTTACCATGAGAACGTTCTGATTTTTAGTTTAGTAAATATTATAATTAACATGAATATTCACTTTACTTCTTATACATTCTAACCTATAATTAGTGTATGTTATAAAACCGATAGTACTTTTAAAAGTACTAATAATGAAACATTAAATAAAATTAAAAGCGTTGTACCTTTTCAGTTACATTTATTAATATCATTATTGTATCTTTATGTAGTATTAATTTATTAAGAAGGTTACATTTATGTTTTACTTTAAAGTATAAAATACAATTTATTTACTTTTCCTTTTTCAAGTCTGTAATACCGAATGTTCTTTTAAGAGAAAACATTTTTTTATTATTTTTCACCTAAAATAAGCTCTATGCACTATTATATAGGGCCCCTGAAAATATGAATGCAAAAGAAAATCTCTAACATAGATTTTTTTTTACTCGAAGTGCTCGGCGTTTACTACTACAAATTATTCGTTCTTCTGAAAGCACATTCGGCGATACTTAGAAGTCGACAAAATTTACTCTTCGGTCTTACGAGGTTAAGGCTAATTTACATTTAACTTTCACTAGTAAAACTTGTTTTCTCCTGGTAATTGAAAATAAACACAATTTATTATTAAGATTTATTTATTAAAAAATTACAATCACACAATCTTGTTTCTTGATTAATTAAAAGCTAATAGTAAAGATTTAATTATGTTCATCATAATTTAAATCTTGTAAATTAAGAATTACATTAAAACTATGTATTACAATAATATCAATTAATTAATTCCCAGTATCCCCTTATAAAAAAATATTCATTTTAAGATAGATTTAAGATAATTATTAAAATAGAACACTTTCTTTGCAGTTGTAAGTTTAGGGGATCTTGGGAAAATAATTTCCCATATTCCCCCTTATCAATAATAATACTTATTAAAGTAATTTTTAATCTAGGTTACTACAGTTAGTGGATTTATTAGGAACTAGCAAACAATTCCTAAATAAAAGAAGAAACACTAAAAGAAAAATTACATAGTAATTTTTCATCATTGACTACTTATCTTTTCAGATAGTCCTATTATAATAAAAATTAACATACATATTTTATTACGTAATTATTTAAGTATTTTACACATGCTGTGACAAGGGACAATGGCCTAAAAATCCTACTAAAACATTATACATTTTCAAAGACACTTGATGTCGTCACTCGCCTACGATCTGATGGCTTTCCCTTTCGTCCAGGTCAGACTCCGTATCGGAGACTTGCGAATCATATGGGATGTTTATCTCCAAGCCGGCAGTCCCCTGAAATGTAAATAAGGCGGATATAAAGCAAATGCTGTAGGTAGGACTCGTTGGGCAAAGCACGAGCACGATCGAACTACTACCCGTTCGCACTAAGTTTGCGGTCCGTGGAATGCGTGTCCCCTCCCCAACCGCGATTAAACGCAATTAATGTGTCTTATTTTACTCAAATACACCTTTTTTATCAATAATAATAAATAAAAAATATTTTAAATATAATTTGTTATAGTTATGGACGCTTCCCTTCGAGTGACGTCATATCGCCAGCGGCAAACTTAAAGCGAACGGATAGTAACTGCGCACCTCGCTGGAATGCGACTCCCTCTCACTCACACCCGCACACCTCGCGTTCGCCCCGTCCCGTACCAGAGCGTCGATGTGACGTCACGGCCGCCAAGTGCGCAGTTAACTAGACCGGGTTGTAAGACGGTAATTAAAGACATATACTTACGACTGGTCTTCTCTGCCTCCGCGCCGCTCGATCCCAAAGGTCGAGCACGTATTCGAAAGGATTCACGAACTCGTTCGGCTGAGTTGGACTGGAAAATATAATAATAATATAAATTCATATTAAATACCTACTTAAATTACTAGGCTTACTTAAGTCTTAAGGTCATAGGACACTTGTCAATACGGAAAGGTATCAACACCGTAATTCGCCGCGAGGCGAGGCGTTTACGTTACATTGCGGACAAGACACAGACAGTGTGTTGCAGTTACGGAGTTTCATACAAAGACTGACCGCCTCGAGTTGATACGGTTACGATCCCTTTCCGGGTTGATAAGTGTGCTTCGTTCTTTACTTATGTGAAGATTTGGAATATTTTGAGCGAATAAGTAATGCTCATAAAATAAAATGTATTCTCACAGAGTTGGATTGACTTCAACGACAGCCGTGCTGGGTGGACTCGTAGAACCTGAAGGCGCGTTTTGGAATCTCACTCTGCAAAAAGTAGATAAAGGTTAACACACATTTTCATAAGTGTACCTAAGTACTTAATATAATTAGATTATGTAAAGTTAGGTAAGCAGTTAAAAGTCCAGGACGGTTGTGGAAGTTCTTGGTTAGGTAAGTAAGTAGGCAAGGCTTTTTCAAGAGGTATTTTTTTGAAACGATCGAACCAGTGAAGAGAGGTTTTGGCACTTCACTGTCTATCCTTAGTTAGGAGTTGGATTATGTTACTTACCTACTAGATTAGAATTCTTATATTAAAAAAAGAACCTATTTCAAACTAAGTAATTATGTCTCAGTCAATAGCTCAACGGCCAGAAAGGTCGTGGGTTCGATTCCCATCAGAGCAGGGCCGGATTAACCATCTCGAGGCCCTTAGGCACAGCTCGTTTCGGGCCCCCCTTTTTTTGTCGCGGAGGAAATGTTTTGCGCACCGTCACCACCTCATCACTGCCATGGGATAGGGTGGAGTGTGACAGCTCGCCTACACGGCGGACCCTACACGCCCCCATTGTGGGGGTCCGACGGGAATGGCCCGAAACGCCAAGCCGTTCCCATCAGACGGAGGTGACAAGGGTGCCCCCGCACCCCCGGCCTGCTGGCCGCCACCTGGGGGCAGAGTAGAACGATCGTACAACAGCCTTCTCCACCACCTTCTCCGCCTGCGGAGCGATGAGGCGAGAGGATCGTTCTCCCGCTCGCGCTCCACTGCCTCCTTCTGAAGAATGACCTCTTCGCAAAAGGAGGCGACCGCCTTCCAGCATCCTTCACTTCCCAGCATGGCGTTGACCAGGCTCAGAAGCGAAGGATCCCGGCCCACGACCGCAGTGAGGACACGGCGCTGCTGCTCCCAGCCTGTTCAGACTGCGAGGGTGTGCTGCACCGTGTCATCCGCCGCGCCGCATTTGTGTCACAGCGGGAGATTCCTCTCACCCGATTCTATGCAGGTACGAACCGAAGCAGCCATGCCTGGTCAGGACCTGCGCCAGACGGAATGTGAGGAACCCGTGCGGTCGTTCCAACCATTGGTCCAGAACAGGACCAATGGCGTCCAGAGTGCGGCGGCCAAACTGCGCGCGAGTCATGTATTCCTTCCAGCGGTCGATCATGATCTCGCGTTCTTCCTGCCTGACGGCGCCGCGCCGCTCCGGGGCCGGGCGCTTTCCACGCGCCTTCTGGTCTGCCATCCAGTGATAGATGACAGACAAGACCCCAGCTTCTAGCTCCCAAGGAGGAGTACCAGCGAGGACGCACGCCGCAGCGTGCCCTACCGTGCGGTAGGTTCTTGCGACCCTCTGCGCTATGGCCCACTGGGGTCTGTTGTTGAGTGCTTCCGCCCAGATTGGGGCGCCATACAGCGCCATGCTCCTCAGAACGCCGGCATAAAGTCGACGACAACTCGTTCGAGGAGCCAACTCAGTGCGCCGGCTGCCTTAGGGAGGCATAGCGCTAGCCCGTTGAAGTGCGGGCTAAAATGCCACCTCCCATCAAGGTGAGGCCCAGATATTTCATCTGGCCTTTGGCGTCAATCCTAACGTCCTCAACCACAATGTGGGCGTCGGGATGGACCCGCTGGCGAGGCCCCGGAAAGAAGAGAACCTCAGCCTTCTCCAGCGCGACTTTCAGGCCGAGGCGTCGTATTCTGCGAGCGACTAATGTGCCGCCCGCCGACGACAGACATGCCGCGGCCCCAAATGTCTTCCCCGGGCAGACCGAGCACCGAACCCTGCGGAACCCCGGCTACGCCGCGCCGTTAGAGCTGGCCGTCTCTGTTAACATTCGCGGTCCCGTAAGTAATCGGCCAGCAGCGCTCGAAGGTACTGAGGCACTCTGTGATGTTGAAGTGCCTAGAGTATGGTGGAATGAGGGATGGTATTGAAAGCGTTGGCTATATCGAATGATACAGCCAACATACCCTCACCCCTCTCCCTAGCCTCCGCAGTGAGGCTTTTTAGCCTCTGAACGGCGTCGACCGTCGACCTGTCATGTAAACCAAAGCAGTAATGCCAACGTTACGAAAATGAATTAGGTTCCACAATATCGAAATAAATGACGATTGAATGTGTAAACCAAAATAAGGCGAAGTCTTGAGGTGGTTTGAGTTTTGTTGCATAAAAATAATTTTTTTTTTCATTTTTTTATCGGGAGTTCTGGGCCCCTGGTCATAGTGGGCCCCTAGGCACTGGCCTAAAGTGCCTTATGGATAATACGGCACTGCATCAGAGGCATACTTACCGCATGTAAGGCGAAGTCTGAGCTCTCCGCTTCTTATGCACCAAGTTGTAGTATAGGAAGATGATGAGGTACATGGTGACCAGCACCAAAACTCCCGTGATCACGGTGGCGATGGCGTGGTTCACTGTCTGGTAGTCCTCGTGGGTCCAGCCGTTAAAACGTGGCAACTGGGAAACGAACATAAGTAACTTAGTTAAGTATGGCGGTTATCACACTGCGCCGCGCTCCGCCGCGGAGCGCGTGATTTCATATAAAAAATCACGCGCGCGGAAGCGTTGTCAGTGTGAAGTGCAGCGCGTGTTTTCCATACAAACTGAGGTACTTGCATACAATTATTAAATCTGTCGCCCCGCGCTCCGCGACGGAGCGCGGCGCAGTGTGATAACCGCCTATGGTTGTCCCGACACAAGCACAGATAGTGCAGCAGCCGCTAGAAGGACTCTGTTTGTAAACCATTTGTTGGCAAATAAAACACTTTACTTTATGTCTAGTGTCTACGTAATAAGTAATTACATAAAAATATTACATAGTACCCATACGAGGGTTTACCTACATTCATTGTAGAAATAAGGGGGAAATTGGGAAAATCAATTCCCATCGGCCACCCTGTAATAATGACCTCCCTGGCTAACTCTAAGCATGACCAACATCCCTAATGTTAAAAACTGAAAAAAAAAATGCTAGAAAAAAATACTAACCTGTGATTTCTCTATTCGCCTGCACACATTGTCCACAGGTGGTGTCTGATCCCCGCACATGCACCTCGCTGTCCCATTCGGCCCACCCACGCACAGGTTCGTACAAACCACTCCTTGACAAGGATTGGGCACATCATCCCTCTGAATGCTCGGGTGTTTTAGCACAAACGCGTTAGCTGGAACTCCTTTGTACATAAAAGGCTCGCAAAGTTTCTTCCCGAAGAGGGAACAGCGGGTGATTTTGAGAGTGTCTGTAGCGAGGAAATATACGGAGTCCTCAAAGAGAGTGAGGCTGTGCGGTGTTCGAAGGTATTTCTGGTCGTTGATGATCGTCACTCTGATGGAAAAGAGAATGTCAGTACAATCAGCTTAATAATTTAATAAATATTTTCGCCTCATTCAATATTTTTTATTTACCTATTTAATTTGTTACAAAATCCACAGCTTTTAGAATGATCTAACTCAGTGGTTCCCAAACTTATTTAGTCTACTGCCCACTTTGAGAATAAATTATTTTTTAGCGCCCCCCATTTTTGTAGTCAAGAGTCGAGCTCAGTCGATGTCTAAGAGTCCTCCTAGTAGATGACGCCTCCCAAGCCTCTACACAACGTCCCGGTTTTTTTTCTGGGTCTCTTACCGCCCCCTTTAAGCCTGCAGCGCCCTCAAGGGGCGTTATCGCCCACTTTGGGACAGACATCTAACTAAACAAAAACTCATTCTTATCTAAACCAAAAGTTCGTCACCACATAAGAAGTTCAGTAAGTTGTAATTAGGTAATAACCTACTTGAATTCAAGACACTTACTGTTTCTCCCCATTGAAATTCATTTTTATAATCCTCGACGGCTTCGTCTCCGCAACATAGATGATCTGCTTGAACGAGTCCACCGCCAAACCCGTGCAGTTCTTGACCACAGCCAGGTCGGTCTCTTTGAACCCTGCGAGGGTAGCCGACCATAGAGAGAAGTCGTTACCGCGCGCGATGCAGTAGAACATTTGGCCGGAAGGCGGGTCTACTACAAGAGATGTGATCTAGAAGAGAAGAAATTGAGTACAATACGGAGGCTTCATTTAAAGCAGTTTCCAAGCTTATTGTCTACTGCCCACTTTAAGAATAAATTATTTTTAGAACCCCCTTTTTCACCTACTTAAAAAAACCACTAACTTAAAACTTCCTGTTTTTTTTGGGCCTCTTACCGCCCCCTTTTAGACCTGTAGCGCCGCACTTTGGGAAAGGCTGATTTTAAAGTAATAAATTAATAATTAACGTTTTATTATACATTTTATGCGACGCTTAATAAAAATAATAAATGGTGCCATCTTCCCCACGCAAAGTCAAGGTTGGTGAAACTTTTTTCCCATTTGCCCCCATACTATAGCTAGAGCATTAAGTACTTATGGATGTAAGATGACTTTTTTAAGTGGTACTTAAGTTGCAGACGCCCATGTAGGTACACCCGCAACATCAGTGATGTCACAAGTGCATTGCCAAACTTTAAACTATCTTTCCTTATCGATATAAGACGACAATTAAATGTATGGGTTTGACAGTTTAACTTTCCCCGGGAACAAACTTGACCTTCACTAGTTAGGTTTTTGGCGGTCTGTAGATCCCGGCTACACAGGAGTTGCAGCGATGGGAACGAGAGTCGGGAACAGTCCCGTAAATCTATGGGCTTATCATACCCCTGTAGGCCTAAGATGCGCACCGTGATAACTTTTATCAAAATGTATGGGAAAAATCTATAAAATGGCGTGATAACCGCTTTTCGCGGCGCGCATCTTAGGCCTTCTGGTCTCACTAACCTTGGTATAAGCAGGCATCTTCTGTAACTTCGAGCAGTGTCTTTTGTTGACGTTGCACACACGAACTATGGCGCCGGCTGGGGAGTTGTCAGCAAAGTATACGTTGCCTGTCAGCCAGTCCACCGACACCTTGGCGGGAAACAAGATAAGAAGTGTGGGGTAGTTTTCAACCGACTTCAAAAAAGGAGGAGGTTCTCAATTCGACCCGTATGTTTTTTTTTTCTATGTTTGTTACGCGATAACTCCGCCAATTATGAACCGATTTGAACAAATCTTTTTTCGGCGTATAGGTAATACCTCAAGGGTGGTCCCATTTAAATTTAATAATAGAAAAAACAACCCCCAAGGGTGGAAAATTGGGGATGAACTTTTTTATACGCAATATTTTTACATTTTAGTTTTTTTTGTGTTCACGCATTTGAAGTCGGTTTTATTTTTTAAAAAAGTTAATTATAGTTAAAAAACTGTAAACCGATTAAGTAAGTACGGGAAAAAATCGTTGTATTACAGATCTTAGCAACCAGTTGCTAGTTGTTCGAAAGCAACGCGACTGGTTCGCCAACCAATGACAGCGCGTTAACTGCGCACCTGGCAGCTGTGACGTCACATCAACGCTTTCAGCGAGGTGTGCAGTTAGCTCGATTGTTGTATAGGTGGCGCTAGTTTCCATACATTTTTCGCATGTGTCGCGTTGCAATTGTTTGTAGGCTAGTTGCCTAAAAAAATTTTTTTAGTCCGTAATGTTTAATATCAAAAAATATTGGACACATATATTTTTATTTGTCAATCTAACAAATAATTACATAGTTATGGTGCGTTGAAGTTGCGCACGACGTCACAACGTGCGGCATTTTTAAGCAAGCGTTGACGTCACGGGCCTCTTCTTATGAACTTNATTACATAGTTATGGTGCGTTGAAGTTGCGCACGACGTCACAACGTGCGGCATTTTTAAGCAAGCGTTGACCTCACGGGCCTCTTCTTATGAACTTTGGGGCGCTTTATCTCTTTAAATTTTCATTAGTTTGAAAAAGTGAAAAATACGTGTAGAGTATTTTTTGATAAGTTAACTGACGGACTAATTAAAACTCTTGCTTTTTGACCCAGGCAACATCCCCATTAGCAACCGGTTGCTAAGAGATTCGTTAAAATCCGTTGATTCGTGGTCGCCACTCGACACATACAGGGTGTTACTTTGCATTCTTGCCATATTTACAGAGGTAACTATATTACTGATACTGAACACAAATCCGTTAAAAAATAATGCCCGAAAATTTTGATTTTTAATTTTGAATATTTTATTTTATCGACAATCTGTTAAACACATCACTAACTATCGTAACGCATGCACATTATTGCACATCACTTATGTTAGCGATGGCGATGGAGACTTTTTTACTTTTTATTGTATTTTTAAATATCTATTGCAATCTATTGTCTTTAAAATGTCTTTTTGAGAAATCCATCAATCAACTCAGTGAAACTCAGTGTACTTACTTTATGGGAGTCTCTTGTTTATCTTAAATAATAGGTATTGGTCCCTACTTTTATCTCTGTGAATATGGCAAGAATGCAAAGTAACACGGTGTATAGATATTTAGTTTCTAAACAGGCAGGCTGTAAGTAGTTAGCGTTAATAGTGGTTTAAAGTATCGGAAGTTAAAATAGAAACACACTGTAGTTATACGTTAACATAACGTACCTTGGTCGGTATCCCAACGTTGGTCACGACGACCTCGCTGCCGTTGTGGGTCACTTCAACCAGTTGGCCGACTTCGGGGATCGCCATGTATAGCCGTTTTCTTCTGTAAATGATAGAGTTAGGACTTTTTAAGAAAGGAGATTTTAGCAACCAACATTAAATAAAATTAACTAATTGGAGGCCGCGTACCAGAAAACGCAGCGTGTGACGTCCACCCACAAGGTGGACCGACGACCTGATAAAGGTAGCAGGAAGGCGCTGGATGCTGGCCGCTATCAACCTTGTGATGTGAAAGTAATTGAATAAAGCCTATGTTCAGCAGTGGACGTCCTGTGGCTGAAATGATGATTCTTCACCTCATCATCATCATCATCTCAGCCATAGGACGTCCACTGCTGAACATAGGCCTCCTCCAATGCTTTCCATGTTGCCCGGTTGGTAGCGGCCTGCGTCCAGCGCTTTCCTGCTACCTTTAAGATGTCGTCGGTCTACCTTGTGATTTTCCACCTACTTGAAATCAATATCCATGTCAGTGATGACCACATCCTCCGCTCCCCTGTGCAGCATGGACCCGTGCCCGTCGCTGGTCACCTCCCACACCGTGTCCCTGGACGCGAATAGCGCGGACAGTTCGCCTTCGATCGCCTTGCAGGTCCGGCGGTCAGACCTGGACAAAGAGACTTTATTATTATTTTTTTATCCACAACGAGGAAGCTCTTGGCCTGTATCTCACCTGATGGTAAATGATGATCAGGCCGAAGGTGGAAGCGAGCTTCACCCGGAATCCTCAACCACGGAGGGAACTGGCTATCTTACCTTTAACTGCCGGAACACAACAATGCTGTTAACATTGTTATTATGGCAACAGACTTAGGTAAGATGGTGGTAGCTAGCCAGGCGGACTTAAAACAAGTCCTACCACCAACCAAACCGAACAGAAAAATGTGCCCCAACTGGGAATCGAACCCGTCCCGTCTGCGTCTGAAGCAGGTGGTCTTACCACTAGACCACAGAGGCGGTTAAAATATTAGCTCTGCTTATATCTTTATGGATGGCTGGCTAGGATAAACCCTTTATTATGTTAGATATTATGTAGAATTATTGTAGATGGACCCGTGTCCGTCGCTGGTCACCTCTCATATTGTATCCCCGGAAGCGAATAAATAATTTATTTATTTATCGCTTTGCAGTTCCGACGGTCTGGCCTGAACAAAGACACTTTCTTCATGGGCATAACGAGGGGGAGCAGAAAAGGGCTACCCTCTGGAAATTATACGTCTTCCCTACATAGGTACCTACTTACCTGCCTGCCTTATATTTCGTCATTGAGTGTCTATACCTACGCGGGGACTCAGTAGATGAGTTCGCCCATGACTGTATACCGATAAATTCACTGCACTCTTAGTTGCAACCTCAATCCAGCTGCATTAAATCTAAGGACCTAGAGAGACAGATCTTACTTGTCTAATTACCTACTTATCAGATTTTTTTGTGGGTTCTCTGTAGGCCAAATTAACTGTAGGTAAAGGCTATCATGAGTTGCAATGAAAGACAGATACAGTAGTCCCGTTGCCCGACTACAATCATGAATTGTTGCTAACGTGTATTCTAATACATTTTAGTGACTTTCCTACCAAAATTTTCAGATCATCACTCACTATCCGGAAGTTTGCATAGCGAGTGATGATCTGTAAGTTCTCCTGTGCCATTTTGGGGACAATAAAGACTAAATTTTTCCTAAAACGTCCCTCACCTGAGCGTGTACCCGTGGTGGCACTTGCACACGAAGGTGCCAGCGACGTTGTGGCAGACGTGCGAGCAGACCTCCTGCTTGCACTCGTCCAGGTCATAACAGTTGGCTCCATCAGTCCACAGCCCGTCAGGACACATGCAGTGTGGCTTTTCTCTCGGCGTGTTCACGCATAAGAAAGCGCAGGTGTGGTTGTCGCATGTTGTCGCTGAAATGACGTTAGAGAACAAAAACAGTCTTCCAGTGACTTGGTCCAGTTTTAGGTTGATCCACGGGCCAAGTCGCCGTATTGAATTTTAAATATTTTTTCTTCCGGCAACTGGGCCGATTAAGATTGTAGAGATTTTGTGTTTAATTAATTAATTATAAAACATTATAGGTCCAGTTGCCGGAAGAAAAAATGTTTTAAAATATCAAACCAGCGACTTGCCCCGCCGACCAAGCTAAAAGTGGGCCAAATCGCTGAAAAACTCCAAAAGCACTTCTAAGTCAAAAGTTTGCGAGTTCGAGGCGTTGCCCGAAACATTTACTGCTGAGTCACGTCACGGTTTTGTCAATGAAAAGAAGCGTTAATTACATATATTATGTAGTGACTACAGAATAGAGTTTATTTATTTATTTATTTATTTTAGAGTTTCAGTCATCTGAGGTATAAAATCACTCACAGCAATTTCCATGTTCATCTGAGCCATCGTCGCAGTCCTCATGATTGTCGCACACGTTTTGCACCTCGATGCATTGCCCGTTGTCGCACACGTACCCGTCGTAGCATTCGCCGGCCGGGTACCGTGTCTTAGGGTACAATCTTGTAGGTCTGTTCACTGGTGACGAGAGATAAGTTTATTATTATCACCCTATAACAGGCCACAGCTAGACGTTGTTGCAAATGTACCCGTCATGGCACTCGGCAGCCTTCGGTACGGTACCGAAGGGTACAGAGACGATATTTTGTTATTATTTTACTTTATTAGCGGGCACCGGAGAAAATGGTTCGATAATTGCCAGTGTGATAGATTGTGGGGGACAGCGGGAATATGCGCAGGCAGCAGCAGGCGACGTGTAGACGTGAAAAACTGGGTGAAAAACGACACGTCGAAGAATTCAGCGCTACTGACCCATTTTGCAAGCTTCGGGCGTCTCGTCCGACCCATCCAGACAGTCCTTATGGCCATTACACAGTCGTCTTTTCTCCACACACAACAGCTCCTGCCGGCACTCGAACTTGCCGTGTGGTGCGCAGTGGAAGTCGCAGTTGATTTCATCTGTACCCCCCGGACATTCGACCTTGTTGTTACACCTGAAAGTTAGTTGTGATGATTGTGGTTTGTAGACAGTGGAAATTTTGTACCCATCACCGAAACAAAAGATGTTTGGTCGCTGTCCAAGGAACTATTAAGGTTACGGTGGTAAATACGACCATAATACCTACTTATTTATTAACCTCAACCAAAATACCAACCCCCACATTGTGTTAATTTTTAAGACAAAATTACAAATGTTAGCAGCTAAGTTATGGACACATTTTTAACAAATAAAACGAAACAATGACGTCACAACAATAATTCGAATAGTTCTAGTTTCTTAAGCATTCTAACCGTGCCGTAAGCGGTATGCAAATGCTCCTATTCAATTCGCATGTGTGCTCATGTTCAGTGCACACTGGCAGGTTCCCCTGAGGAAGAAAAGTGGTGAAGAAGTTAAAATTTGTTAGAGTACAGCGGGGTCACTACGAAAAATGTTATCCGAAGTTTCGAATGTTGCTATCCCTATCACGCTAAGCGAAATGGCAGCATGAGCGACGGTGACAGAAATATACCCGAAACTACGTAGATAGCGTACAGGGGAGATGTTCGGCAGTGGACGTCCTGTCGCTGAAAATAATGATGTGATGTGCTTAACTTTTTTGTTGTTTAGTACGTGGTTAACTTTTGTGTTTACATTACCACTTCAAACTCCGAGGATGGTTCCTCACAGTCCTCCTCATCTGAACGGTCAAGACAATCCTGTTTTCCATCGCAGCGTTTCTTCAGTTCAATACATTCTTTGCTGCGGCACCGGTAGAAACCAAGACCACATGACTTAGCTGAAAAATTAAAAGTTTCAAAGATTCTTTACAAGTTTTTAAAAGACTGAAAATTACGCGCGTAAAGTTATTTTGAAGCGCGAAGAGTAACTGGCATGAAAGCATGTCCTGAAATAATACTCTACATGGATTTAGATTTTTATTTCAAAATCCATGTAAATGTATGTAACTAAGCAAAGAAATGCATGATCTTGTAGCATCTGAACTCCACTTACTGCAATTCACTTCGTCCGACCAGTCCGAGCAGTCTGGCTCGCCATCGCACACAAAGTTTTTGTAAATACAAGAGCCTGTGGCGCACCTGAAAATTTAATACCTTTTAGTTTATGAAAGAAACTCTTCAAGTGAACCAAGCGATTCTGCACCCATCACAACTCAAAAATAATGCGGCAAGTGGTTTATGATACTGAAAAGTTCAGATTTTGCTGTTATGTCCTAATATTCGTGATCCCAGCGAGCGTTATCTTTATTTGGAGCTCCAAGCAGACGCTCAAATCTCTGCAGTACACCTGGACTCAGTTTTCCAGCTCAAACTGACCTGTACTCATGGTCCTGACAGACCAGCGAATCGCAGACTTTCGGTTTCTCGTCGTTCTCAGTAGGACAGTCCAGGTGCCCATCGCACATCTGCGCGCGTTCCAAGCAAACTCTGGAGGTGCTGCACAATACCTGGTATTCTGTGCTTGCGCAAATTGGACCTGTACAGGTAAATTAAAGAGGTTTAATGCCGAAAATAAGACATAATAATTACGTACATCCTCGAACTTGTTATTTTTTATGTAGTTATCTGTTTTGTGAGGTGTAAAATAAAGTTCTACAATCTACTATCTATTCTCGATAAGGTATTTTAAACAGTGCTAAGTACCACAATACTAAACTTGGGGACATAACAATAGTATTTAATATATTTTACTAAATAAAGTAGGTATAGGTATAGCAGGCTTGTAATGATATTATCAATAACAATTAATAAAATGTAGTAAGAATCACCTGTATTATTACTGCTGGTACTATTATTTTTTTCAGTGCAAGTTTCGTTTTGGTGAATGCAAACGCCATTGCAAGGAATCTGCCCTGAAACGCACAAAGTGCCGACTTTTGGAGTTTTGGTCGAGCTTTCTGAAAGAAATATTAAGAATATTGACTTATCATCTGAGCTAAGGATTGTGTGAAAGATCCACATAATTTATTATTCTGGTGATTCATTAAATGCATCAAAACACCTCTCAGGTTGTACGTAAACGGGTGACCATTTTGTTATTTTTTTTTATCCAAAACGAGGAAGCTCTTGGCCTGTATCTCACCTGATGGTAAGTAATGATCAGGCCGAAGGTGAAAGCGAGCTGCACCCGGAATCCTCAACCACGGAGGAACTGGTGATTTTTTTATGGTTTCGATATTCGTCACTGAGCGACAATGCAACTAATTTCTTTGTCCTTCTTTCTAAATGGCCCTGAATCCACTAGTAGCAGCTGACGGAAAGATTCCAGTAGCGTTGTCCCCCAGGGGCGGATTTTGTATTTTTTTTCCCGATCTCCACCAGAAGGGTACAAATGGTGAGATTTTGCAAATAATGTACGCTTACTACAGTTACAAATGCAATTTAAAGTTACGGTTTTAACTTACCCTTACAATCATATTCATCTTCACCATCCTTACAATCCTTAACTCCATCGCAGTACTTTCCATTGGGGACGCACTCGTTGCTTATATGGCAGTACAACTCTTTCGCTTTACATGTAGCTAGCAGGGTACAGGTCCCCTCGACGAGGAGGAGGCCGGGGGGACAAAAGCACCTGTACCCTAAACTTTCTGGGGTACTGGTTTTGCGAGAGCGGTGGGTAGAAAGGGGAGCGTGGGGGGTTTGGACGCAAATGTGGGAGCAGGGGTGGGATGTACGACAAGTGTGGTTAAGGAGGGGGTTTAGGGGGTCGGGGGGAGAGTATGTCGCTTGGATGTGCAGCTGAGTGTTTTCGGGGAACATCGCTGAAAATGGATAGTGAAATAAGCTTGTTTAGTTTGGCAAAGTTAACAAATAATTTGAATTTTAAAATAGAAGAACTTTTTTAAAGGTTTCCTGCTGAATTTAGGTATTTCTTGTTTTGACAAGGACCTGAAACGTCATGAAAATCAAAGAAAAATCTTTGATGCCCGTTTTGACCATCAATCCCTAATTTTGAAGTGACCTCTATGGTACCACATAACAAAAATTTTGTTTTCATAGGGGTCACTTAAAAATTAAAAATTACTTACTTAATGGTGAAAAGGGGCATGAGAATCGTACATCTTACAATAATGCTTAGGAGATGGGCCCAAAGCGGGTAACTTAAGGTTTGTGTCAATAAAAAAGACGTTACTGCAGTTGCAAAGTTATATATTTTTAATAATTCGTACAAGTATGTATTAAACTTTGTAATAAAAACTAAAAATCACATCTCTTGTAACAAATCACTTCACAAATTTAAGAACTAATCAGTCGGTCATTTTACCCGGTTTGCCTGCAGGGGGTGCCCAAAGCGGGTATGGCCCCTGGGGCAAAACGGGTCGAGACTGGGCGAGGCGAGCTGGCGAGTTACTGACGTTGGCTTTGGCTTTCTCAATGTTAGTTGGGGATATCTCTTTTCAAAGGCTTTACATCAATCTTCTCCAGCAGTTTGACTTTTGAAAGGGTGCGGAATTCTATTGCTCTCTGCATATTGATATACGTGAGATAAAAATCCGATTTTATCAGACCAAAAAAAAAATTATCCATGTGAAACAAGACTTCTATCAGTTCAGATTCTTGTTCAGCCAAAACAACAAAAATTACCTATGAAACTACAATTTTTGTATCCATATATAATTAGAATAAGAATAAGAAGCGGTTACCCGTTTTACCCATACCCGCTTTGCCCAAAAGATACTTTTTCACGTTTTGTAAAATAATCTCAAAATCTTTATCAGAAATGTTGCTCAAACAATAAGAATTCTACGCTGTTTTAATGCAGAATAATACACAAGTAACAGATTCAACACAACTTTAAACAGAATGAAGTAATTCATATTCACAAATCTTGATTCATTTTTTGTGAAACAGGCAAATAAAAACATTCGCGTCTCGGAGCTCCGCCGCGCGTCGCCGATGTTTCGGCCAAACTGATTCGTGTCGAAACAAGTTCGGGTATTGCCACGAAACGCACACATGTGCACAATCGGCTTGTATACGTGAATAACGAAGGCTACCCGCTTTGGGCGGTATACCCGCTTTGGGCTCACCTCCCCTAGATTATGATACTGCGAAGTTTATGATAATAAAAATTTGTAGGTACTTACTAAACTCAAAACTCCTAATATTGTGCGAGGCCTCGTGCACATTGGACCAGTATAACCTGGCCTTCCGGTCCGTCCAGAACAGGTAGGAGTCCGTCACCTCCATGCTGGTTACTGTGGTGGAGACATGCCTGAAGGTCTCTCTGCCAGTGCCTTTAACGATAATTCACTTTAGGATTGAACTTTCTCGAAGGAGGTTAGTGAATTTCCAGAAGGGATGTAACTACATATTATACAGGGATATCAAAATCCTGTATAACGTAGACATTGATAAATATGATTCCGTGATTCGGATCCTTTCTTCGTTACACTCGGAACTCAATTCGGGATAAATTGTTATTGCTTTTTGACGTCAGTGCCAGAAAGCAGTTTTATTTACTTTTTAAGCCATCTAGTTACTTAAACTGTTTGAGCATTCTAAATAATAATAATTCTACTTTGTCATCTTCTAATTTAATTACACTTTTCATTAGTGCTCAAAAAGGTCTCGGATCCATTATGAACCTGTTCGCGAGGTATTTTCAGGCAAAAGGGCGAAAGATATGGTGTGAGTGCGAGACCTTCAAAAGGCTGACGATGATGATAAATTCTTATTTATTTAATCCAAATTATTCGCAAAGTTGCTAAAGGCAAAACTCGAGAACGATTGACTATAACCAAATCCGAGGAAGGTAGATTGTACAAAAATCGCAAAATCAAATCACAAATTAGTGCTTGAATATGAAAGAATTTTCTTACCCTCAGGATGCATGAGGTCGATGAGGCCGTTTCCGTCATCGGCCATGTACACCACGTCCATTTCGGAGTCGTAGCCCAGCCGGATCCTCGGCCCTGGGGAATTCATTCATGTAAACCAGTGGTTCTTAACCGGTGGTCCGCGACCACTGGTGGTCCCTGGAGGCATTCCAAGTGGTCCACGAAGTGCACTTGCACACCTTGGTCAAAACCACTTTTAACAGATTTTTGCAGTCAAACTGGTTTTGACCGATTATGAGGTGGTCCCTGACAAGACAGAAATTTGGTAAAATGGTCCCTCATGACTTAAGAGTAGGTGCACACCGTTGATTTTTAGTTGGCCGATAGTTGTGCCCGATTTGAAATTGTATGAAGAATCGGCCAAATCGAATCGGCGTAGTGTGCGCACTCCCATACATGCCCATACTGATCAACTGCCCGACTAATCTATCGGCCGACGAAAAATCAACGGTGTGCGCCTACTCTAAAGGTTAAGAACCGCTGACAGATGTAAACCGATGTGTTAGGAGGCGCGCAATTGCACACCTTCAGAAGTCACCATCAGGCCAGGTGTCCACTAAAGCGGAGAAAAGATGTGTTTGAACAACAACGAAACAAATCAGATTTCGTTATTTTCACAACACCTTCTCGTTCAGTTTCGGTTCAGAATTCTTGGTTATTCAAAAACATAGCTCGTCCTCTCCACTTTAGTGTAAATCAGTTGCAAAGCGGTTTCGTACTGCGTCCGAAAATTCCGATTTATAACTGGTAAAATCGGATGACGGAAATCAAAAATAGTGGGTATACTACGACCTAAAGCCTGGTCTGCGAGCACGTAGAATTTTGTCCAATGACCCCAAGCTACCCATCCTTATCGCTCGCGCGCTGTGCGTCGGGCGCCCGCAGTGAGTGTGCGAGCGCGACAGCAACATAATTACGCGCGAGCGATAAGGATGGGTAGCTTGGGGTCATTGGACAAAATTCTACGTGCTCGCAGACCAGACTATATCTACCAAACAAAGAGTTCTACGACTACTTACTCTGGAGTCAGGACCACGGATTCGTACCGAATGTAGTGCGAAACCGCTCTTACAGGAAACGTAATTCGATACCTCTGGGCTCAAAGGTCGTAAAGGACAAAGTACGACTTTTCAGGAGAAGCAAAAAACGTTTTTTTATTTTTTTATTCGACAGTAACTTTTTTGTTTTTTGAGCTATTAAAATATGACTTAGGAAGAAAGTGCTTAGAATTCACAGCATTTTCCGAGGAGGTATTGAGAAACTGGACTAGAGCCGTATTTACTGAGATAGATTTCCTTTACGCCCTCAAAATAACAATAAAAAGACCTTTACGCCCCTCAAATATTCGTCCTAGGCAAGTTACTCAGGACGTAAGTCTCTTTTTATTTCACAAAACTACAAAACCAAGGTAATAAATGACAATTTACATAGTTTTATAGGTTTTCATTGGTCGTAACGGAACACCCAGGTAAGGTATTACGCAAGGGTAAATTGATAATTTAGCTTAAATATTTAATGTTTTATGCTATTTGATATGTAATATACCATTTCTTCACACATTTTTAATGAATTATGGTCTTTAAATAAAATAAAATGATTTTCCGTAGCTTCATAATTTAATGCACACAATTTATGAAACTATTTAAGCAGAAGTTTTGACATCTTCGAACTAGAAGATACCATTTCCGATATACGAGCGAATTTAGAAAATAAATATTATGACGCTTTAATATAAAACTTAATAAATGTGTACTATATACGAAAAGCCGAAACCAATTTAATTTTATTTATTATTTTATTTAATCATTATCATTGTTTCGAAAAACTACAAATGGCGAACTTAATTCCATAGGGCAGTCTGTCAACCAGTTGACCTTATGATAATGCAGATCGGATAGAATTATTAAGGACAAGCGAAAACCAAACTATAAATTATTCTTAATTCTAAATAGATTAAACATAACGTTATTATTCATACTAGCTAAAAATTATGTCATTTTACTTGATATAAAAGTAGAAAGGTTAGGTAAGTAAGATTACAAGTAGGAAGCTTTCATTCCAGTAAAGTACATCCACTTACTTTACTGTAGGAGTAATAATACAGTTTTTAAAAGCCAATTATTATTTTTAATATAAAATATAACTTCGAAAAAAAGTGCATTCACGGTTTTTAGTAGATTTAGTCTCAACTGACACTATATTTTCCCATGTTGTGCAAATATTTTTCCTACTAGATTATAATATATTAGCTGATCCAATTACTTTAGAAACTATACTTATTTATTATTTGTTAGTACCTACAGTAAAAGTGGTTTGACCAAGGGCGTTAGTCAAAATTACTAGGAAATCATTAAAAACAATTGATAAGTGTAGCATTTGTGTAATTTGTGCATAGAAAATAATTACACCTTAAGGTACTACAGTAAGGTGACTTTTTTTTCTCATAATACTTTAACAAATCTAGCTTCTTAATTTTTAATTTTTTTGTGAATTCATCATAAACATCATAAAAACATGCTATAACATGTATTCATTTTCTTAATCATCTTTTAATAATTTACCTAATCATCTTTTAAATTAACCTGACAAATACGTAGTTTCTTCAAATATGAGAAATAATAAAAAGCAACATTACTTTACCCGATGTAGGTAGGTAGATGTCATCATTTAATATGTACAGACGACGGCACGTCAACGTAACCACTGTGGGTTCTTGAGCAGTTGTAATAGGGGCGAGTTTGCAACAAAAATGGGTAACCTGATGTGCTGTCGTATGTACAATCACATAAATACACTCTAAAATAGTTTTATTGCATATTTTTGATGTTTTTTTTNGTTGAAACTGCTTCAACAAGCATTTCGCATTTAAGAGGTGCTTTAAGTGTTTTTAATTTTTCGATATTTGTATGGTCTAACCATTTGAATACCTCAATTGCATTGCCCCAATTTTTACCCTGTGACTGATCCAAAGGCATTTCGACATACAAGGTCACGTAGTCATAATGACGACCTGTTTTGTCATCTTTGAAATCAACAGGTTTAGCGCCAACGATTGTTACTGGTGTTTTAAATTGCATTTTTTACATCCTCATTGCTGTCATTAAGACGTGATCCAACCGCTTTGGATAAGCAAATTGGTCTGTGTGTGAAATTAGATTGATCAGTTCTTCAGGTTCAAAAACCTGCTTAAACAAATTGATATATTTACCGTACTGGCGTTTGATCGTCTCAATTGCTGCCTTTGCAGAAATCGTCGAATTCTTTTTAAGTGTTTCAATACGTGCAGGCTGAATATGCGGGGCAATGTCTTTAAAGCATGGATAAGCCGAAAGTAAATACTCAGACGGTGCAAGCAACATATCGAAAGGCAAAATACGATCTACAGCCTTGAACTCGACTTCACATCGTTGCCAGTTATCGTCAGGATCGCCCTCTGCCCTGCCTTTTTCATACAAACGCAGATATTTACCCGATTCACGGCTACCGATATTTAAGGTACGACCACGACCGTTTGGACGTTTCCAATTGCCTTTATATTCAATATTTGGAGCACGATTTCCACATTGGAAACCGCCGATATCGTCTTGATAATTACCCCAATCAACATTGATATGCTTGCCATCAAAGTCATCATGGGCTAAGTCGATACGAGTTAACTTTGCACGTTTGGCAATATTGGTTAGGAATGTATACAGGCGTTTTTCCCAACCTGATTCAGCAAAGGCACAGCCTTTACCTGAAAGCATCACTAGGATGGTATTTCGTTGGCCACCAATGCAGACCAAACCCATATCTTGACCAAGAACGTAAGACTGTTTGTAGAAGTTGCGACCGCTTTTGTTTTGGCTTGTGGTCGAAAATCCAAAGATATGCTCTAAATGTTCATCGAATGCGATTATCGTATTCATCCAACGATTTTCATCGGTCGAATCTTCCGTATTCAGGAAGCGATCCCCTACTGTTTCAATTCCAATGGTGAAATTCACCCAGTCCACTACGGCAATTTCATTATCCGCAGGTAAACGACATTGAACTGGCTTAGCGCCCGAAGATGTTGAAATCATGTGCATGTATGGCACAGGGTTTTCGCGAGCGAATGGCAGCTCTAAATCCCAATCCGCAGTGTCCATGCGTGACGGCTGATTAAGCTTTTCCCCC